ATGATGTCTACGGCCATACCACGTTGAAAATACCGGTTCTCGTCCGATCACCGAAGTCAAGCAACGTCGGGCGAGGTTAGTACTTGGATGGGTGACCGCCTGGGAATACCTCGTGCTGTAGACTTTTTTTCTTCTTTTCTTTCATCAAGTTTTTTTCTTCTTCTTCTCTCTACTTGAAAGTCACTAATCCGAGTTAGCTCTGGCGTGCATGGGTGGGTGGGTGGTTCGGCGCTCGTGAGGGCCAGATTGTAATATTAAACTTTGTTTGTATGTTTTGAACTTTGTTCCCTCCCGATGACCCCAGCCAGTGTGGTGGTGGAAAGGGCCAACACCTTTTTCATCATGCACCGACACACTCACAGGCTAGTAGACTTGTGTAGGCAATTAGACAGTTTGACCCTGGTGGGGTGCAGAGTGGTTGCATGGGTTCGTCCTGCATGCATGTCTGGTAACGGGTGCATGATGTGCTGGTGCTTAGGGTAGGCTTTGTTCCTTCCCATCTCCCTTCCCTGCCCCTCCCCGCGCATCCCATGCAGAAGGGGAGAAAGTCTGCCCATCAGCGAGGATCATGGGGCAATCATTTCTTTCAAAGTTCATCCTGCACTGACTAGAATCCAGTTTGAAAGGTGAGAAGCTTGTCGCGGATAGCGGCCATGGACAAGGAGGGAGCGAACATGCAGTGGCGACGAATCTGAGTTGTGTAAGGGGAGTCGTCAACTCGACAATGATGTCTACGGCCATACCACGTTGAAAATACCGGTTCTCGTCCGATCACCGAAGTCAAGCAACGTCGGGCGAGGTTAGTACTTGGATGGGTGACCGCCTGGGAATACCTCGTGCTGTAGACTTTTTTTCTTCTTTTCTTTCATCAAGTTTTTTTCTTCTTCTTCTCTCTACTTGAAAGTCACTAATCCGAGTTAGCTCTGGCGTGCATGGGTGGGTGGGTGGTTCGGCGCTCGTGAGGGCCAGATTGTAATTTTAAACTTTGTTTGTTGGTTTTGAGCTTTGTTCCCTCCCGATGACCCCAGCCAGTGTGGTGGTGGAAAGGGCCAACACCTTTTTCATCACCCACCGATACACTCACAGGCTAGTAGATTTGTGTAGGCAATTAGCCAGTTTGACCCTGGTGGGGTGCAGAGTGGTTGCATGGGTTCGTCCTGCATGCATGTCTGGTCACGGGTGCATGATGTGCTGGTGCTTTGGGTAGGCTTTGTTCCTTCCCATCTCCCTTCCCTGCCCCTCCCCGCGCATCCCATGCAGAAGGGGAGAAAGTCTGCCCATCAGCGATGATCATGGGGCAATCATTTCTTTCAAAGTTCATCCTGCACTGACTAGAATCCAGTTTGAAAGGTGAGAAGCTTGTCGCGTATAGCGGCCATGGACAAGGGGGGAGCGAACATGCAGTGGCGACGAATCTGAGTTGTGTAAGGGGAGTCGTCAACTCGACAATGATGTGTACGGCCATACCACGTTGAAAATACCGGTTCTCGTCCGATCACCGAAGTCAAGCAACGTCGGGCGAGGTTAGTACTTGGATGGGTGACCGCCTGGGAATACCTCGTGCTGTAGACTTTTTTTCTTCTTTTCTTTCATCAAGTTTTTTTCTTCTTCTTCTCTCTACTTGAAAGTCACTAATCCGAGTTAGCTCTGGCGTGCATGGGTGGGTGGGTGGTTCGGCGCTCGTGAGGGCCAGATTGTAATTTTAAACTTTGTTTGTTGGTTTTGAGCTTTGTTCCCTCCCGATGACCCCAGCCAGTGTGGTGGTGGAAAGGGCCAACACCTTTTTCATCATGCACCGAAACACTCACAGGCTAGTAGATTTGTGTAGGCAATTAGCCAGTTTGACCCTGGTGGGGTGCAGAGTGGTTGCATGGGTTCGTCCTGTATGCATGTCTGGTCACGGGTGCATGATGTGCTGGTGCTTTGGGTAGGCTTTGTTCCTTCCCATCTCCCTTCCCTGCCCCTCCCCGCGCATCCCATGCAGAAGGGGAGAAAGTCTGCCCATCAGCGATGATCATGGGGAAATCATTTCTTTCAAAGTTCATCCTGCACTGACTAGAATCCAGTTTGAAAGGTGAGAAGCTTGTCGCGTATAGCGGCCATGGACAAGGAGGGAGCGAACATGCAGTGGCGACGCATCTGAGTTGTGTAAGGGGAGTCGTCAACTCGACAATGATGTCTACGGCCATACCACGTTGAAAATACCGGTTCTCGTCCGATCACCGAAGTCAAGCAACGTCGGGCGAGGTTAGTACTTGGATGGGTGACCGCCTGGGAATACCTCGTGCTGTAGACTTTTTTCTTCTTTTCTTTCATCAAGTTTTTTTCTTCTTCTTCTCTCTACTTGAAAGTCACTAATCCGAGTTAGCTCTGGCGTGCATGGGTGGGTGGGTGGTTCGGCGCTCGTGAGGGCCAGATTGTAATTTTAAACTTTGTTTGTTGGTTTTGAGCTTTGTTCCCTCACGATGACCCCAGCCAGAGTGGTGGTGGAAAGGGCCAACACCTTTTTCATCATGCACCGACACACTCACAGGCTAGTAGACTTGTGTAGGCAATTAGCCAGTTTGACCCTGGTGGGGTGCAGAGTGGTTGCATGGGTTCGTCCTGCATGCATGTCTGGTAACGAGTGCATGATGTGCTGGTGCTTTGGGTAGGCTTTGTTCCTTCCCATCTCCCTTCCCTGCCCCTCCCCGCGCATCCCATGCAGAAGGGGAGAAAGTCTGCCCATCAGCGATGATCATGGGGCAATCATTTCTTTCAAAGTTCATCCTGCACTGACTAGAATCCAGTTTGAAAGGTGAGAAGCTTGTCGCGGATAGCGGCCATGGACAAGGAGGGAGCGAACATGCAGTGGCGACGAATCTGAGTTGTGTAAGGGGAGTAGTCAACTCGACAATGATGTCTACGGCCATACCACGTTGAAAATACCGGTTCTCGTCCGATCACCGAAGTCAAGCAACGTCGGGCGAGGTTAGTACTTGGATGGGTGACCGCCTGGGAATACCTCGTGCTGTAGACTTTTTTCTTCTTTTCTCTCATCAAGTTTTGTTCTTCTTCTTCTCTCTACTTGAAAGTCTATAATCCGAGTTAGCTCTGGCATGCATGGGTGGGTGGGTGGTTCGGCGGTCGTTAGGACCAGATTGTAATTTTAAATATTATTTGTTGGTTTTGAGCTTTGTTCCCTCCCGATGACCCCAGCCAGTGTGGTGGTGGAAAGGGCCAACACCTTTTTCATCATGCACCGACACACTCACAGGCTAGTAGACTTGTGTAGGCAATTAGCCAGGTGGGGTGCAGAGTGGTTGCATGGGTTCGTCCTGCATGCATGTCTGGTCACGGGTGCATGATGTGCTGGTGCTTTGGGTAGGCTTTGTTCCTTCCCATCTCCCTTCCCTGCCCCTCCCCGCGCATCCCATGCAGAAGGGGAGAAAGTCTGCCCATCAGCGATGATCATGGGGCAATCGTTTCTTTCAAAGTAAGTTCATCCTGCACCGACTAGAATCCAGTTTGAAAGGTGAGAAGCTTGTCGCGGATAGCGGCCATGGACAAGGAGGGAGCGAACATGCAGTGGCGACGAATCTGAGTTGTGTAAGGGGAGTAGTCAACTCGACAATTATGTCTACGGCCATACCACGTTGAAAATACCGGTTCTCGTCCGATCACCGAAGTCAAGCAACGTCGGGCGAGGTTACAGTCCGTTTCAAAAAGATTTACAATCCTGGCGATCGCCCGCGGAGTTTGGCGTCTTACCGTATGAGCACTCGAGCGCTGCCTGGAAAAACTCACTGTGAACTCGAAGAAATATTCCGCGCGAAAGCAGGAAAAATGACAACTCACTCACGTTGACACAGTCATGTACGTCTGGTTTACAACAAACGAGTTCTTCCTCGTATCGATAATGGAGTCAGAGAGGACATGTCGAAACGAAAGTGTTGTAAATGTTGACGAGCGGCATGGGTCCGTTTTGTGACCAAAATAGTTTCTTTGAGCTGCGATGCAATTTACTCACCGTGTGACGAAAATGACATCGACACGGACACATTCCCAAGGCCATGACTTGGCAAAGCTATCCGTGTGACTTCAACGACATTTTGAGAAAAGCAGACGCTTGTGAACGCTGATAGAAGACGGCGTTGACTGCTAAATTCAAATAAATTGGTGATCTTGAAATACTAAAATAAATCTCAAGAAGCTACAGCTACTTCCATTATAATTCACTCACACCATTGCAGTGTTGTGGGTGTGTTCACATGGCGTGAGCCAGTCAATTGTCAGTCAGTTCGGCAGGAAGCGCGAGCTCCAACAAGTCGTTTGGTGCAGCCATCTTCTTTGTCTTGTACCAGCTTGATCACCAAAACAATGAAAAAAACGTTCGACTTGAGGATAGGTTGGGATTTGAACTCACAACTTCATGGTCAGCAGACAGCATTCATAACCACAAGGCCAAAAAGGAAAGGATAAATCGTGGGTTTTGATAAAAAAAATCGATACTGGCTTCCTGGGCAAATTGTAAACCATGGGAAAAGGCCGGAAACCTGGCCGAAATTCTAACTCCTTAAAGGGAAACTGAACGCCAAAAATAAGTATGGCTTATCCGAAGGAGAATTGGGCACTGATTCCGATGAGCTATGTCTCGAGCCGATCAGAGAAGAGGAACCGTGTCAAATTTCATAAATAACACCTTCCATATTTGGAAATTGGGCTTGATGACGTGCGTACTGCTTAGCTGTCACCATGCTGTGCATGCTCAGCAGTGTAATTGAATGGAAGAAAACAATTACTTTGGTGTTTTGCAGCTCTATTTCGTTCCCTGGCGGTACCCAAATCTAGATGTAGGAGTCTGTTGAGCAGGAGAGTGACACATGTCTTCCCGAAGGCTGTCCAGCCTGCAGTGGTGATGAAGAAGACACGAATATCACCCCAAGATCGATTGTAGCGAATTGGAAAACTCATGGTGAATTTGCTTCCACTCCAAGGCAATGTCGAGGTATGAAGGGTGCTTGTACTGCCTTCCAAAGTGCAGCGGAGATGAACATGGCTTTGCATAGCTGTTGCTCTACGCCAACTTACCTACTCTTGCTGGTTCCGTAGTGGTATATTGCAAATTTCGTGGACGAACAATTCGAGTCACTAGTGGCTAGTGAGCACCACTAACAGGTGAGATTTTTCAATTTGATAAAAATTGTTTTTGTTTGAGAACTGACGGTGGCAATCATTTGACTCAGTAGGTGTCTCTGCTGCTTCTTTCCCTTCATTGGTAGGGTTGTGCTTGATAGTACAAGTGCTTGAAGTAAAATAAAATAAATAGAACATGTGGAACATAAATCTAATCAAGCATCAGTACATGTATTGCGAATTTCAACTTCAAAGCACATAAAATTACAATGATCACAAAGTTTATGGAATCAGGAGGACTCCCTGTGTTCAACGAACACAATACACACATTCTATATTGCGCGCACACATGTACACATGTGCGTGCACCCCCACCCCATCCCACAGACACACGCATGCAACGCGCACATCCATACACATGTGTGTGAACCCCCCCCCCCCACACACACACACACTCCTACCCATACACATATGCGTCTACCCCCAGCTCCCCCCCCCCCACACACACACGTGTGCACAGACGGATACACAAACACACACACACACACACACACACACACACACACACACACAAGTTACTTGTAAGTGTACATGGTCTTCCTGGTGCAGATGCTGGGCCAGCACAATGGAAAATACCTCCATCAAGATGCTTGATCAAGTGTTGTGATAATGGCACTGTTTGTTTGTTTTTACAAAGATGTGTGGGAAGGATTACAATGCGTTATAATTCATAATATTATTGTTCTTTGCCTTGTACTGTGCAGACCAGAATGCTTCGCCATCAACTCCTGGCTTTCCATCGGCATGGTGTTCAGCTGCAGCGGCATCTGGTCCGGGGAGTACGTTGCTGCACGTTTATGTAATTTATATTGTCGCTCGTCCAGCAACGTCAAGGCTCTGCATGTAAACACAGGAGAACACCATAATAATTATACTACTCAGGGGATAATAATTATAATTTTGGATTATCAATTTCTTGACATTTATGAGTTCCTGTCTAAACCATGTCGTGATATTGATTGCTATCTGCTCACAAAGTACCTCGTATTGTAACAATACTCTGCTTAATCACTACCCTCTGCCAATTATTAGATTCGCACAATATTCACAACATATGCAACACAATGCTGTCTATTGACACTACTTCGAACTGAAATGCTTACTACTCGTCTCCCGTTTTCAACTCCCTCTACCTTATGAATACTCTACTTTACTGGTTTCGTTTCTACCCTTTCCATTGCTGCCAGCCCCCAGTCTTTTTCAGTGGACAGCACCATATTGAAATTTTTGTGATTTGATGTACACATACTTTGAAATTGAAATTCGAATTACATGATCAGATTTTTGTTCCACATGTTCTATTTATTTCGACTTCAAGCACAACCCTATCGATGAAGGGAAAGAAGCCGCAGAGAGACACCTACTGAGTCTAATGACTGCCACCGTCTGTTCTCAAACAAGAACAATTTTTGTCAAATTGAAAAATCTCACCTGTTAGTGTTGCTCACTAGCCACTAGTGACTCAAATTGTTCGTCCACGAAATTTGCAATATACCACTACGGTACCAGCAAGAGTAGGTAAGTAAGTTGGCGTAGAACAACAGCTATGCCAAGCCATGTTCATCTCCGCTTCACTTTGGAAGGCAGTACAAGCACCCTTCATACCTCGACATTGCCTTGGAGTGGAAGCAAATTCACCATGAGTTTTTCAATTCGCTACAATCGATCTTGGGGTGTTATTCGTGTCTTCTTCATCACCACTGCAGGCTGGACAGCCTTCGGGAAGACATGTGTCACTCTCCTGCTCAACAGATTCCTACATCTAGATTTGGGTACCGTCAGGGAACGAAATAGAGCTGCAAAACACCAAAGTAATTGTTTTCTTCCATTCAATTACACTGCTGAGCATGCACAGCATGGTGACAGCTAAGCAGTACGCACGTCATCAAGCCCATTTTCCAAATATGGAAGGTGTTATTTATGAAATTTGACACGGTTCCTCTTCTCTGATCGGCTCGAGACATAGCTCATCGGAATCAGTGCCCAATTCTCCTTCGGATAAGCCATACTTATTTTTGGCGTTCAGTTTCCCTTTAACGGTTGGTCCAATTGTTCCGAAACCTGCACAGAACAATTTGCCGTGTCCTAACAAGCCATTCTATGTACTTTGTTGTCCAAATTTCCCTTATCTTCATACTTTTTAAGACCCAACCCTGATTGTAAATCTTTTTGAAACAGACTAAAGTACTTGGATGGGTGACCGCCTGGGAGTACCTCGTGCTGTAGACTTTTTTTCTTCTTTTCTTTCATCAAGTTTTTTCTTCTTCTTCTCTCTACTTGAAAGTCACTAATCCGAGTTAGCTCTGGCGTGCATGGGTGGGTGGGTGGTTCGGCGCTCGTGAGGCCAGATTGTAATTTTAAATATTGTTTGTTGGTTTTGAGCTTTGTTCCCTCCCGATGACCCCAGCCAGTGTGGTGGTGGAAAGGGCCAACACTTTTTCATCATGCACCGACACACTCACAGGCTAGTAGACTTGTGTAGGCAATTAGCCAGTTTGACCCTGGTGGGGTGCAGAGTGGTTGCATGGGTTCGTCCTGCATGCATGTCTGGTCAAGGGTGCATGATGTGCTGGTGCTTTGGGTAGGCTTTGTTCCTTCCCATCTCCCTTCCCTGCCCCTCCCCGCGCATTCCATGCAGAAGGGGAGAAAGTCTGCCCATCAGCGATGATCATGGGGCAATCATTTCTTTCAAAGTTCATCCTGCACTGACTAGAATCCAGTTTGAAAGGTGAGAAGCTTGTCGCGGATAGCGGCCATGGACAAGGATGGAGCGAACATGCAGTGGCGACGAATCTGAGTTGTGTAAGGGGAGTCGTCAACTCGACAATGATGTCTACGGCCATACCACGTTGAAAATACCGGTTCTTGTCCGATCACCAAAGTCAAGCAACGTCGGGCGAGGTTAGTACTTGGATGGGTGACCGCCTGGGAATACCTCGTGCTGTAGACTTTTTTTCTTCTTTTCTTTCATCAAGTTTTTTCTTCTTCTTCTCTCTACTTGAAAGTCACTAATCCGAGGTAAGCTCTGGCGTGCATGGCCTATGGGTGGGTGCGTGGTTCGGCGGTCGTGAGGGCCAGATTGTAATTTAAAATTTTGTTTGTTTTATGGCGGGCGTGGGTTGTTCGGGGTTCGTGTTGACCAGGTTGCAATTTTTGTTTGTTTGTTTTGAGATTTGTCCCCTCCGAATGCCCTCAGGCATTGGGGTGTTCGAAAGGGCCAAACCCGCAATGCATGGTTTGATATTGGTCTGAGAAAGACCCGGGCATCAGTGAGGAGGATGCAGTTAAGTGCATCAGCAAGGATCTACAATTTGTAGGAGCAAAGAAGCGTATACTTACTTGGTGTTGTCACGTACTGTTGAACTAACACTTCGCC